CAAGCACACACTTCAGAAAAGTATATTTGTGTTAGTTCCCTATATTTCTTGTATATCAGATCCTTATCAGAAATATGTAAAGATTTTTTTTCTCACTTAACAGCTTTTGTTGTTATGCTAGCTGTGCTGATTTTATTTGTACAGAAAATTTTCACTTTCATGAAATCAAACTAGGCTATTTTATCTTTTATAGGGAGTGTGTACCTTGTTTTATTGGTAATTCCCCCCTAACCATAGCTATAAAAGTACCCATTATTATTTCCTTCAAAATTGTTTATAGTATGACTTTTTATATTCAGGGCACATCCATTTTAAGCTTGTTATGTATGGTGTTAGCTTTTGGTCTAAAATTAATTTTTGCCAAACTACTTTTCCAAGCAATTCTTATCAAAATAGGGAGTCCGTCCACAAATAACGTATAATTTCAAGTTTATCAGACATTAGGAGGTTCTTCAGTTTGACTGGGTCTGACTCTTCCTTGTATAGTGTGTTTTTCTCTTTTAACTTAGGTCAAACAGTTTTGATATTACTATTGCCTTATAATATAATTAGGTTTGGAAGCACCATTTGCCTTCTTTTCCAATTTTCCTTTTGAGAATCTTAGAACTTTTCCTCTTAGTAAATTTTGTTAATAATTTGTCTAGCTCTATAAATTATTCCATTGGTAATTTGATTGGTATAGCACTAAATTTGTAAGTTAATTTAAATAGTATCATTATTTTAAATACATTGACATAGCCCAACCATGAGCAATGTGATTTCCTTTAAAAATGTTATGTAATTGTATTTATATGCCCTGAATTGTATTTATATGTCTTGGCAAATTAACTCCCATATATTTTATGCATTTTGTAGCTACTTTGAATGAGACATTTTTTTTGTAGCATAATAGATCTAGAGCTAGAAGGGGCATTTAAGACTATATAGTCCAATCCCCTCATTTTACAGACAAGAAAATAGAGGCTCAGGAAATTAAATGACTTCTCAAGGTCACCTAGATATTAAGCACCAGGAGCAAAATTTGAACTCAGATCCTCTGATTTCAGAGCCAGATCAAATCAATAAATATTTATTAAAGCTATTAGTATATGCCAAGCACTGGGGATATAAAGGCAAAAATCACAATCTTTGCCCTCAAGGAGATTACCTTCTAATGAGGGAGACAAGATATAAACAACTAGATAGATAAAAGATACATATAGAGTAGATGACAGTGACTCAGCAGTAAGCCATTAGCAGGTAGGGGTGGGGGTGGGAGAGACCTCTTCCAGAAGGAAGGATTTGAAGGAAGTTAGAAAAACTAAGAGGTAGTGATTGGGTGGCGGGGGTCATCACAGCATTCCAAGTACAAGGGACAGACAAGTGCACAGGCACAGAGAAAGGAAATGGCATGTAATGTGAAGACCTGCAAGCAGGCCAGAGTTCATGAACCACAGAGTTCATGGAACAGAGTGCAGTATAAAAGATACTTATATAGATAAGTATCTATCTGTATCTATGTCCCTATCTATATCTATGAGTCATCTGCATAGAGTTAAATCCATGAGAGCTGATGAAACCACCAGGGGAAACAGATTAGGGAGAAAGGAGAAGAAAGCTCAGGACAGAGCCTCGGGAGACATCCAAGATCAGTAGTCATGACAGATCAAGAACTAGCAATGGAGATTAAAAAGGAACAGTGAGACAGGGGAACTAGGAGAAAGCAGTGTTGGAAAACTAGTGAGATTAAGAAGCAGGTATCTGAACCTGCAGAGATTTACAGGTAGCCAACAGCTGCTGAATCCAGTAGCAATCTACTGGAATTTCAACCAGGAGAAAGCTCACAGGTTGTTCAGACCTAAAAGTCAGGAACTTGCAAAGCAAAGACCAGGAGGCAAATGATCAGACTTCACCCTAGATTGGATACTTTCTTGGAGCAATGAGAGCTTGAAGGCCCCAGCTTAAGATTCTCTGAGATCCTGGAATAATACAATGCTCCCAGAGACCAGCAACATGACGCAAAAGAACATGAGCTCAGCAGAAACATTCTCCCTAGAAGTGCACAGAGCCCAGCCTTAACATAAAGTCTGAAGTCAGGAAGTAAGCATGAAGAATAAGCAAAACAAAACAAAACAAAAATGCCGTGATGAGACATTGTGAGATATGGTGACAGGGAGGCAAAAATATAAAGGCTTACAACCAAGAATAACTTAACACAGCAAAATTAAGCAAAAAATCTTACAGGGCAAAAAATGGCCTTTAATGAAACAGAAAACTTCCAAGCATTCCTGATGAAAAGACCAGAGCTGATAGATCATAGAACCTTTGAAATATAAAGGAGTCAAGAGAATCGTAAAAAGGTAAACATAAGTGAGTAATGATAAGGAACTAAACGAGAATATACTGTATGCCTTCTAATTTTAGGAGATAATACATGTGTGTCTCCTGAAACCCATTATCATCACTGAATAGAGGGAAAGGGCGCAGTTCTGTTCCATTATGATAATCTTAAAAGAAGAAAGAAAAGGGAGAGGAAAAGGAATACAATGGAGAGAGAAAAGGGAGAGGAAGGTTGGGGAAAACTATCTCACATAATTGGCACACACAAATAAGGAGGAAGAAATGGGGAGGGTGGGTGACACTTTAATCTCACTCTCATCTGACCTGGTCAATGGAGGGGAAAATACATTCACACAGCTGAGTAAAGATATGCATTTTCCCTCAAAAGGGAAATAGGAGGTGGAAGAAAAAGGAAAGAGAAAAAGGGAAGATTAAAGGAAGGGTTAATAGTAAGCAAAACAAATTCTAACTATAGGAGATGGATCACAAAGAGAATTTTAAAAGGAAAAGCTAAGAATTTTTTATTGGGCACTAGATGAGGTCAAGGAAACAAAAGTATATTGTATCCAACTTAAACCGCTGGTGCTGAGTACCTCTGTTGGCACCTTCTTCTTTATAAAGAGGGACCAGGGAAAGTAAGGGAAGGAAAAGGTAATAGAATACAATGGATGGAAACACAGAATTAATTATCATAATTGTGAATGTCAATGAAATTAATTTATCCATAAAATGTAAGACAACAGAAATTATTACAAAGCAGAATCCAACAATATGCTGTTCTCAAAAAACACAATCGAAATACAAAGATTCAGAGTTTAACAAAAAAGAGGCTAGTAAAATCTGTTATGCTTCAGCTTAAGTAAAAAGAAATGGAGGGGGAGCAATCAAGGCAACACAAAAAAAATATACTTAATTAAAAGAAATAGAAATGGAAACTACATTTTCCTGAAATGTACCATAGACAATGAATTAATATGAATACCAAATGTATAAGAACCAAATGGAATAGCATCTAAATACTTAAAGGAAAAGTTAAGCAAATTACACCCTTTCAGAACAAGGTAAAGCTACCCACTAAAAGAACAAAGAAGAAGTTAAGTATCTTCTTTTAGAAAACTTTTAGAAAAGTTAGATATGATAGACTTCTGGAGGATATTGAACAGAAAGGAGGATACATGTTTCTCAGCTATGCAAGGCACCTTTATTCAATAAACTCAGTGCCTGACTGACAGTCTTTCTCTTCTCTTCAATTTTGGCCCTCATACTAGGAGACTTCAAAATACATACATACATACATACTGATACTCAAAAATCCTAACCTTCCAGTTCCTCAACTTACTCATTTCCCACGACTTATTTCAGCTACAGACAGAGATGGTTATATTATTGATCTTGACATTACCCTGAAAGAAATCACTTCCACATTCCAGAACTGAGAAATTCCCATATCACATCACAATCTGCTGTCATTCCACCCCTCCCTCAGCCTTATCTCACTATGTCATCTGCAAATCCTCACAGTGATCTCCAATTCTTTGATACCTTAGTTCTTTCCCTGGCCATCATACCAGAGTGACTTTCACTCCTCTCTTACTCACAGTGATTCCTTGGTGAACCCATTATAGCACTTGCTGTCTTCTTTCCTTGAGTACTCACTTATCTTATTGCCCATCTACCCCTGCCAAGCCCAAGTTTTAGATTACTCACACTGTCCACCACTTTCATTCTTATTCACACGCTGCTCAACAAAGCTGAAGAAAATCACTAAATTGTGCTGACTGGGTCCTCTACAAATTTATGTTACATAATCTCAATTGGGCCCTCACTGAAACAAGGCAATCCTTTTATACCTCCCTAATCAACTCACTATCCCACTCATCATGGCAGATTTCATTTCTAAACTTTTCCATCCCTCCTCAAACATCCCATGCTTCCCCTCCCCTCCCTTCTCCCTTACCTAATAATCGTGGCCTTTTGCCAAGAACTCTCTTTTCTCCTTGCTTTCTCATCTCATATCACTCAGCTGTCTACTGTTACTATCTCCCCGCCTTCATCCCTTTCACACATAAAGAGGTGGCCCTTCTCCTTGTGAAGGTTGACTCGCCTCTACCTGGACAAGGATCCCATTACTTGCTGCAAACAAACATGGCCATTTCTCCTCAATGCTCAAAAAATCCTCACTTGATCTGTCCATCCCCACTAGTTATCTTTTCATCTTGGAAAGACAAGGACGGAGCCAGAATGTTGAAGCTTTTCAATACTTGGATAAGATAAGTATTTCCTTGTTTAGGCAACAGGGAATTAATGAAAGGTGGTTGTTCTCTAAAAGGTGCTTATCTTCCTAATTTCCAAATCTGTAGATGACATGCAAATAGCAGCCCAATCTATTTCTACCAACCCTATTTCTATTATAAGATTCTTCATGGCAAGAACTGCAAATTCTTTATCCTTGAACGTTTCCTAGTTTCAGCCTAAGACATACAGTCAAACTATAAGTAAAAGGAGATTAGTATACTAACACCCTAAAATAGCGACCGCTTACAATCTCTCACACTTTTCCTTCATATTCCAAAGTTTCCCTCTTGACCACTCTCATTTTAAAAAAAAATTGTTTTCATCCCTACATCACAACATACTTTTAAAGATAATGTAACACAATTAAAACATAAAGACCAACTCACCAGGTAATTTCTTTTCCAGCGGTTGCTGTTCCTCTTCTAACACTGGTTCCTCTGGTAACCTTTGGTCTACAGATACAGAGCTTATGACAGATATGCCACTGCCAGAGCGAACCCTTCTGCAAGAACAAAAAACCATTTGTCATTATTTCTTTCCAAGATTAACTGTTCAGAATTAATCTTTTTTTAAAAGTGTGAAACAGTAAAATATACAAGATCACCAAGGAAGCCAATTATATTGAAATACAGTTATCAAAATGTTAGGGGAAAAAAGAAAAACAAGTTAAGGGTCCTAGGTCCCAGGGGAAGAACCATTGGACTAGATACACTTTTAAGTTCCTTCCAGATTTAGCTCTGTGCTCATATGATCTTGTCTATAATGGTGGAAAGGCTTTAATCTCAATAATTAACTGGGTCTGCTTTCCTAGGGCCATCAATGCAATGTAGAGGCTAAGGTGATGAATTCTCTAGCCATCAAACCCATGAAATGAAGAAAAATACAAAAATGACTCTCAGTCTAGTTTATCTCCCACTGTTTTTCTTTCTTCAATGATGGTTGTAGAGAAGAAGATAGATATCAGTCCTATTTTAAATATTGGAGAATTGTGACATAGAGTGAAAAGGTTATTTATACAAATTGAATCAGGACAAAATCTGCCTGACATACTAGAACTTAATTCTCATGACCACGGATATTCACACTAATCGGCTGTATGATACATATTATGCAGCAAATTCCATGTATAATTGAGGAAAAGTCATAGTTTGGGTAACATTTGCTCTACTCACTTCTCAGGTGATGAGGGAAAAAATGTACACTATACAGTCACAAAATTTATCAAATCACAGCTCTAAACCTGAATAAAAAGTTTGAATTTTAATGAAAATGGAATTACAAACACTGAATCAGTGCTTTATCAGTCTACTGATATGCCTTACTATTTGATACATTATCAGTGTAGCACTAATAAGGAAGAGGGCCAAAAACATCACAGGAGAAATATTTCTTCCAGTATATTTAGAAATGTTACTTTTAAAAAACAAAATGTTAACTCTCAAAGGATTATTAGAATCAGATATTTTTCAGAGATTCTAATTCTCACTGTGTTTTACTCCACCCTTTGTACTAATTTATGCAACGAATGTAGTAAAAGAATTAACCTACATTTTGGAGGAAAGCAAACACCAGTAAAGAGCTTCTTACTTATTTTTTTGGTAAGAAATACAGTAGGAAAATTACAGTAAAAGAACAAAGGTATTTTGGAGAACAAGATTATTATGGATTAATGTAGGACCTACAACAACTAGGATTTATTATAAATTTGCATTCTCTTGCCACAACAAATTATAATGATGATGAAAATAGTAATAACAGCTCACATTTATATAGTTGATGTTTGTTTAACCTAATTTACCCTGGGTAAATCATTCTACCTCTCTGAGCTTTACTTTTCTCATCTGTAAAATAAGGATTCCTCCCAGGTTCTGGTGAGGATTAGATGAGATCACATGTACAATGCTTTACAAACCTTAAAGCATTACAAAAATGCTAGTTATCATCACATGGTGCTTTAAGGTTTATAAAATACTTTGTCTAGGTCATCTCATTTGATCCTCCTAAGAACACAGTGAGGTAGGAACTGTTTAATGTCTCCATTTTACAGATGAGGAAACTGAGACTGACAGAGGTTAAGTGATTTGCACATGGTCAATTCGATTCAGCAAACATTTTTGAGCACTTGTAATATGCTGAAGACACAGGGACTGAAATGAAATAGTCCTTTCCATCAAGAAGCTTACATTCTACTGGAGGGAAACAACATGTGTACAGATAATACAAACAGAAAGGTACTTCAAGAAGGAGAGAGTCCTGACAACAGTGGAAAGCAGAAAAGGCCCTATAAGCTGGCTCTAAGTGGCACTTAAGTTGAGCCTTGAAGGGAAGTAGGGGTTCCAAGAAAAAACAGAAGGGAAAGCATTTCAGGAACTTCTAAACAAAATTAGTAGTGGAACAATTATAATGAAAGTGCATTACAGTGAAATTCCTATGCAAAGGCACAGAGATGGGAGACGGAATGTCATGTATGAGAAACAGCAAGAAGTCCGATTTGGTAGGACTGCAGAGAATGTAAAGGGGAAATCTCAAATCAGCCTGGAAAGAAAAGCTGGAGCCAGACTGTGAAGGGCTTTATATGACAAAGAAGTTTGTATTCTATCTTAGAAACAATAGGAAGCCACCAGAGCTCTTTGAACAGAGGAGAGACATGGTTAGGACTGTGATTTAGGAATATCAAATTTGGCAGCTCGGTGGAATTGGATTAAAGAAGGGAGAGGTTGAATGCTGGTAGATCAGGTAGGAACCCATCACAGCTGAGAGGTGATGAAGGTTTGACCTATGGTGGCTATTGTATGAATGGAGAGAAGACCGGGGCTCAAAAGAGATGAGGGCTTGAGATAGATTAAGAGACAAAGAGAGAGATTTGGAAGAGATATGCATGGTGATAAAACTATGGGAGTTCAAGAGATCATCAAGAAAGAGAATGTAGCAAGAAAAGAAGACCCAAAATAGCTTGAAAGGGGTAAGACATGGATGTCACACGGCTAGTCAGTGTCTGAAGTAGGGTTTGCACTCAGTGCCTACTAACTTCAAGTCCAGGACCCTGTCAATTACTCCATGCTGACTCCAGACAGTACAGAAAGTCTCAGGAAGGTCAAGGAGGATGAGAACTGAGAAAACACCATTGAAAGCAGTAATTATTAAAAATATTCTTAAGTGGCAAAGTCTGAAACACAGGAAGAGAGTCATATTGTTCTTACCTAAATGAAGGAGGAATATATTCTGGAGGCAGTACTGGTGGTAGGGGTTGGCCAGACATAGCCACATCAATTAAGTGCATCGCCAGAATAAATTCTTCTGCTGTTAGTTTTCCATCTTGATCAATATCTGAAAGATTCCTATTGAACAAAATATTAAAGGTGTCCTCGTTAGAATCTTTTATTAAAATTCAATGACTTTATTAGAATGACCAAAAAAAGCCCTTTATTTTTGCCTTCAATACCAACAAGTGAAATTAAAACTCAATGTATTTAGGTCTTGCATTTTGAATATTCTCAAATACCATATTCTCAAATATTTGAACATATTCCCCAACAAAGGAGCTCCTAAAGATTCAAATGTCTTTTCTCCTACTCGTTTCTATGCCTTTCTTCTTGAAGAAAAAATGTCAGGCTACTGAGAGACAACATGGTATAGTAGACAGAGATGTGTACTGGGAGTCAGATCAATCTAGTATCAAATCCTACCATGGACACTTACCAGATAGGTGGCCATGAGCATGTCAAACAACCTATGTTTCAGCTTCATCATGTTAAAAATTGGGACAGCTGCTTACTAACCTCATGGGGCTATTGTAAGGCAAAAAAAAAAAATGTGTGTGTATATTATAAATGTCTATATGTGCATATATATATGTATACACAACAAAAGAAATGTTTATGTGTGTGTATATACATTAAATACCATATACTTTGTACAGATACATATACAGAATACATATATCTCTTTATATATTATACATAATATAACTATAATATATTTTATGTAATATATAATGTATATGAGTCTTGTGTGTATATCATGTGTGTCTATATATATAATATAAATACAATGTGTATTATATATAAAATGTGTGTATAATTATATTTTTTGTATATATGCATGTATGTGTATCTCTCTCTTTTTCACCTTACAATTAGCTCCCTGTGGCTGGTAAGCCACTGTTATTATCTCTTTTTCACACATGATGAAGCTGATAGACACAAACACACACACATATATAAAATCTCTTTTATATATCCATGTATATAAAGTGCCTTACAAACATTAAAGCACTAAGTAGTAGTCAGTCATGAATACTATTATTGTTACTAGTATTGCATTCAAGCCTTTGGTGGCTTTGGCAGGCCAAATCCTGACCCAAATTTTCTAACTTTTTTTTTTGGTCATCCATTTCTTTAACTTTATTCCCCTTCAAAATATTTTACTTCCCAGCCAAACTGGCTCACTTATTTCCTAAATTCAGCATTCTATCTTCTCTCTCCATGGCTTTACAAAGGCTTTCCCCCTTGCTTCCAATGTAACCCCTCAACCCCACCTCTCAAAATTCTTAGTTTCCTTCAAGGTTCAACTCAAGCACCATGTCCTATGGAAGTCTTTCATTTCTCCACCACCCCCAATGTTGCTGCTCTCTAGCTCATCAAATTATCTTTCTCTTCATTTATCTGTGCAAATATTGTACATGTCCAGTAGAATGCAAGTTCCTTAATGGCAAGGGCTATTGTTCATTGTGGCTCGAGTGCCTTTACACAGCAGGCACTCAAATGCTTACTAAAACTGAAATGAATTCACTAATGACCAGTGTCCATACTGACATAGTTGGGAGGAGTGGTCAAGTTCTTAATAGAATCTACCTCTTTATCCTATACCATAGGTATTGGCCTATAAGGTATACTGTCTTCATAGTGATCATTTTTGTTTATGCTCATCATGAATACTGCAAGGTGGGATGAACAATTGTACCATAAAATGATGTTTGTAACTTTGAGTGTCCAAATGGATCAGTTGAATTCCTCTAAGTGAGGAATTTCCTCTAAGTGAGGAAATGCTTATGAAAATTTCTATTTAACTGAAACTCCTTTATTAATCAATAAGTATTTATTAAGTACCTACTATGTGCCATCCACAGTGCCTCTGTGGGTAAAAGTACAAAGAACAGAACATTCTTACAATGAGCTTACATTATAAGACAGGACAAGTTCATTAAAAGTATATATTGCATAAATATAAAGTTAATAAATACAAAAATATATAAATATAAAGTTAATAAACTACAAAGTAGTTTAGCAGGGAGGGCCCTAGCAGTTGGGGAGATCAGGAAACATTTCATGCATAAAATGGTGCTTGAACTGCATCAAAAAGGTAGAGAGAGACTTTGTGAGGTGGAAGTAAGAAGAAAGTGTATGACAGGCATGGGGGACAACCAAAGCAAAGGTAGATGGAATGTTATGTGTGAGGACCATATTGAAATCCAATTCATCTTGACTGCAATGTGTTGGAAGGGAAGCAATATCCAAGGAGGCTAGAAAGATAGTTTGAAACCAGAATGTATAGACTTTAAAAACTAAACAGAAGAGTTTCTATTTTGTTGAAGAGGCAATAGGAATCCACTGGAGTAGGTGGAGGAGAGTCAGATGGTCAGAAAAATAACTCTGGCAGCAGCGTGTAGGATGGACTGTAGTGGTGAGGGACTCAGATGCAGAGACTAAGTAAAAGACTGTTGCAACAACCAAGGCAAAAGCTCACGGGGATCTGAACTAAGATGGTAGCTGAAGGAATGGAGAGAAGAGGTTGAACTTGAGAGATGTTGTGAAGGTAGAAACATCAAGATTTGACAACTAACTGGATATGTGAGGTGAGGAGCCTAGAATAATGCCAAGATTAGAAACCTTAGAGATTTGAAGGATGGCGATACTTCTGACAGAAATAGCAAAGTGTGAGAAAGGGGAGAAATATCATGAGTTCAATTTTAGATATACTCAGTTTAAAATATTTCCAGGATATTCAGTTTGAAATGTCCAAAGGCAACTAATGACACTTCTATGTCTTCTAGTTTCAGTAAGGATGAATATAAATATTGATACAGTTCAAATCTTCTAGTAACATATCAACTTGTTAATTCATGAACAAGGAGTCACATATAGAGTATCAATAGTTAATGTTTATAGCTAGCCTAAAAATTATATGATTCTGGGCATAGTTAGCCTCTTTTTCTGCTATTTTATCACAGTCACTCCAAAAACAGAAGGGTCATACAATCATAAAATTACAGATCTAGATAGTATAGAGCTGGAAGAGATTTCAGGTCAAATAGTCTCATTCCCCCTCATTTTATTTTTAAAACATTTAATCTTATTCATTTCTGAAAATAATGCCTCTCCTCCCAAGCCCAGTGAGCTCTTTTAACAACAACCAAACACAGTTCAGCAAAACTAAGTAATGCAACAATTATGTCTGACTGTACTGACTATACACAAAATACCCCATACCCATAGTCCCATTTCTATAATGAAGTAAAGTTGGTGCATTTTTTTAATGCTTTTCCTGGTCCAAGCTCAGTTGTTATCATAATTACAAGCATTCAGTTTCATTTCTTTTTTACACATACATTACTGCAATGATTGTGTATGTTTTCTTCTGAATCAATTCATATAACTTTTCCAATGTTTCTCTGAATTCAACCAATCCATTGTTTCTTGAAGGGTACAGAGTACATTCCACTATACTACTGTTCCATAATTTGTTTAGCCATTCCCTAATTGACGGCCATCTACTTTTGCCTTCCAGGTCATTGTAACTACGAATATTTTGGTGTATATGTGACCCTTCTGCCTCTGACATCTTTAAGGTATATGCCAAGCAATGGGATCTCTGAGTCAAAGGGTACAGATATTTCAATTTGCTTTTTTTTTTTTTAAGCACAGTTCCAAATTGCCTTACAGAGCACTTATTCCAATTCATGATTCTACCAGTAGTGTTAAGAGTACGTCTTCCTATAGCTCCTCCAATATAGGCTATTTCTGACTTTTGTCATCATTGCCAGTTGTTGATTTTCATCTCTTATTATTGATGACTGGAGCATTCTTTCATATAGTTATTAATGGTTTGCAATCTTCTTTTGAGGATTGTTTGTTCTTATCCTTTGGCATTTATCTATTGGTGAATAACTTCTTCTTCCAAGCCTCTCCTGCTGCTCAGCCCAGCATACTGTTCACTATACCAAAGTCCTTTCTCAGGAATGTTAAGGGACCTAAAGAAAGGTATGCAGCAAGTGGGCTCCCTATAGAGGATTTATGTGTGAAGGAGATGAACAAGAATCACACAGGCTGGAGGACTCCTTCTGCCACTGGAAGGCTGATCCACTATGATGCTCTAAAATGGAGCACATGGATGCCTTAAAATTATATTTATAATGTCATGACCATTTGTTAATTTTTAGAAGTGAAATTTCACAATGACTACAGATTGATTATTATAGTAAAGCAACTTTCCACTGCAGTTCCAAGAGTCTAACTGACAAAACAACTGAAGAATGATACACAGCAAATGCCAGGTTTATGTTAATGGATGAATAAATTCAAACAAGGAGAATGCTACATTGGAACACTGAACTATCTCCATGCCATCAATCAAGAACACTTTGCTTCACTTTCCAGTTGCTTCTGGAACCCCAAAATGATTTTAAAATCACATTAGGTTTTCATTATATGTAAACTTTGTAGTTAATTTGTCCCCAGGCACCCATTTTAAAGTGAGGCAGAACCATTTATGAAAAGGTATGCCTTTGCCTTCTCTCCCCAAATGCCTTCCGGCTCTAACACCAGCACTGCTTTAGCTAAGGCAGGTAAGTAGGCAAGAAAGACACAGCCCTCCCTGCATAACTGGTATGATATATTTTAAAGTTATATTTGGTAGAAGAATGATACCATAATATTTTTATATCTCTTTGGAATAGAGGCAAGAATGTTGTAATATAATTCTAAGAGCGTGCCCCTACAAAGCCTAGATGGAGCCTGGGCCGCAGTAGCTCTCAACAAGCTAAGAGTCCCCATATACATAAATAAGTAGCTCAGATTTCTCAGACTTGGGTATATAATGCCTATAATGTGATTAATAGCAGGTGCCTTTAGTTTTTACCATTCATACCATCAAGAGGCAGGTGAATGGAGTTTGACACAAACTAGAACACACCAAATTAATGTCCACTGTAGGAAATAAACACATGATATATAAAAATGACCTATTCAGCACATAAGCTCACAGGATAGATTCCATTTCCATGTATAAGTCACCACAGGAACTATATATTTCAATCATCCCCAATGCACTGGTTTAACATCCACTTGAAAAACAAGATAATGATAAGAAACCAAAAACAATATTTGAAATTCAGCACACTCAGTCTCTCTCTAAACCTAACAAAAGGTAAATCTAAAATATTTGTGAGATTAACTCTGTCTATAATAAAAACACTTTTAATTTCTTACCATATTGTAGCCAGCTGAGTCTGTGGTAAACTTGATTGCATAAGAATAGTTCTTGCTTGGGGACCTAACAGATACAGGAAAAAGTTAACAGGATGAATCAGTAGGTATTCACTTTAGGCAAAAATCAGTGTTCTGTATATTGATACTGTTCAGTCTTGTGTATTAGAATTAGTCTTGTGTATTGTGAATTAGAATTATAATGATTTTAGTATATATACTAAGAAACAGAACAGAAAAGAAATCAAATATCAGTAAAATGGAATAAGTGACTACCAAAGAAGAATGGACATATTAGTTCTAAAAGTTTAGAATTTAAAATTTTAATCTATCTCTTCCTTGATCAAAACTCTTACATTACATTATCTAAATATAGTGTCCTATTATTCCATCTCTCCCTATACCTTACTCCTCCTAAACCCATTCTTTAGCTTGATCAAGATTTCCAATTCCTCTACCCCAACTTTCCAATACTTTCTCAGTCCATTACTCCAGCTCTGATTTCACTTTTCTCTCTTTCCAATCACAACTCTACAGTTAACCAATTCAACTCCAGACTGTACTCCTTTCTCAAATTCTTTGGCCTCTTGTTCTATTAATAGTCATCCCTTACCAAACCCCAGCCCTGGATTATAACCAACCATCTGTCTCCTCCATTCCTACTGCTGAAAAATAGAGACAAAATCACACATACTGGAAAAAAAAAAATCATACTGACTGGAACACCATAAATTTGTTATGTCATTTCAATTAGGCCCTCATTACTGCTAGACAATCCTAATATTTCTAATTGATTAACTATTTCACGACCATAGAAGCTACTTCGATCCTTTTCTTCTTTCATCAAAGTTCTCACACTTCCACCTCTCCATACCCTCTCAGGTAACCACCTCCCTCTTACTTTACTGGGAAAAGTGAGGCCATTCTTCTTTTTCCCTTCTCTTCATCTCAAAATTTCTTGATATTCTCTACTCTCTCCTCCTTTCTCTTCAGTCTCTTATACTATGGAGACCCTTCTCCTTGTCATGATCAGCCCCTCTGTACATGCTCCTGGTGCAATTCCTTTTCATCTTTTCCAACAGAGCATCCACTCTTTCACTCAAATCTTTCCTACCTGTTTTATCACTGTCTTCAAATATACTGTCTTCACCTCTTTAAAAAACCCTCCCCTAGATCTTACTCAAGCTATCATCCTCCCCATCTCCTCTATTTCTCAGACAAATGTCTAGAAAAAGATGCCTGCCTTGTCTCTATCATTTCTCCTTTAATTTAATCTTTTGTAATTTGGCCTTTAATCTCATCATCCAACTCAAACTTTTCTCTCCAAAGTTGTCAATGATCTCTTAACTACTAAATCTCTTGGTCTTTTCTCAGTCCTCATTCTTCTTGACCCATTTGCTTCATTTTACACAGCTGACTATCCTACCCTCCTGGATGGATACTTTCTCCCTTCTGAGTTTTCATGATTCTACTGTCTCCTGGTTATCCTACTTGTCTTGACCATTCTTTCTCCAATCTCATTTGCTGACTCATTGTCATTATCACTCAGGGTCCAAATTTCTTTCCTGGGCCCTTTCTTCTCTCTGAGGCCTCATCAGCTACCAAACATTTAATTATTATCTCTATGCAGATGTCCATGCATCCTGCTCTAATCTCTCCCCTGAACTTCAGTCTCACATCAACATTTGGATATTTCACATTGGATTTCCCAGAGATATCTCAAACGCACCATGTGGAAAAAAAAAGAACTCACTACCTTTGCATCAAAACCCCTATTCCAAATTTATTTCTGTTGAAGACACCACCATCCTTCCTTCACCTCAAATATCTAAGCAGTGACCAAATTTCAACATTTTTACCTCACAGTATCTCCCCTATCTGATTACTGTCTTTCAAATAGCCACCACAATAGTTCAGGCCTGCAACATCTCTTTCCTGGACAACTGCAATTGCCTCCTAACTGGTCTCTCTGCTTCAAGTCTTTCCCATTCCAATCCAGTTTACACATTACTATGAAACTAATTTTCCTTAAGTTCAGATCTTGCCAGATCACTCTCACCAGGACTACCGCAATGGTTTCCTTATTGATTCCCCTACCTAAAGTCTGTATCCACACTAATCAACTCTCCATACAACTGCCAAAGTGATTTTCCTTAATTACATCTCTGAACACATAATCACCCTACTTGATAAACTATAGTGATTTCTTATTGCCTCTGGGACCAAATATAAGCTTTGTTTAGTTTTTAAAGTCCTTAACAACCTGGCCCCAACCTATCTTTCTACCTTCACTGTACCCTTTCTGTACTCTGATCCATCCAAACTGGTCTTCTTTCTGTTTCTTGAGACACACAGTCTCCATCTCCATGCCTCTGCTCTGGTACATCACACATGCGAGAAATAATCCCTTACTTCTTTTGAGAAATCAGTTCAGGTACCACCTTGTACATGAAGCTTTTCCCTATATTCTCTCCATATTTATTCCATAAACATTTATACATGTTTATATGTTATACACACATATACATACATGTGCATTTATATATGTGTATACATATACACATAGACATAGATACATTGTTTCTCTAATTAGAATGACTGCAGGCATCATTTCATTCTTGGTATTTGTATACCCAGAAGATGTCACATAATAAGCACTTAATAAATGCTTGATAGTGATAAGGGATAGATAATTGATCTAGATACTCAGAAATCCCTTATTTACAAAATTAAGGTTTCTTTCCTATAGTGTGCTTATAAATGTTTAATAGCCAGCTCTCAAATAGCACACGGTTTTTAAGAACTTCACTCCTTATTAGTTATTAATTTGCTGGTTCTTCTTACCTACTCACTAAAATTACAGGGTTGGTTCTTCTTTTTTTCCTAAAGCAAAGTAAATGTAAGTTTGGATGCATAAGTAGATTAGTATGGGTATACTAGAGGAAGAAGAGAAGTAAAAAGACATCTTAAGAGTCTATCAGAGACTGGTCCAGTGATTTTGGAGAACAAGTTGGAACTATGTCTAAAGGGCTATATTACTTTGCATACCCTTTGACCCATCAATACCACTACTAGGTCTGTACACCAAAGAGATCAAAGAAAAAAGGTTTTTTGTTTTTTTTTGTGGTAGCAAAGCACTGGAAATTGAGGGGATGGCCATTAATTGGGGAATAGTTGAATAAGTTATTGCATATGATTGTGATGGAATATTGTTGTGCTGTGAGAAATGACAAACAGAGACGGTTTCAGAAAAACCTGGGAAGACTTGTATGAGCTGATGCAAGGTGAAGTGAGCAAAGCCAGGAGAACACTGTACACAGTAATACAATAATACAACAATAATTCACAATTCCAAAGGACTCATGATAAAAAATGCTATCCACTTCCAGAGAAAGAACTGTACTTAGAGTTATAAGTACAGATTGAAATAAATTTCTTTTTTCTTTCTTTCATAATATGACTAATGTGGAAATATATTTTGCATAACTTTACAGGTATAATGGGTATTGTATTTCTTGACTCCTCAATGGGGGAGAGAGAGAATTCAGAACTGAAAAAAAATTAAAAAAAAAAAAGGACTCTACCACCTCTGCCACAGTAGTACAAATGGGTGAATGTGCTAAGAGTAGTATCACCAGAAAGAAAGCAAAGAGGTCAGAGGTGAAACATATTGTGGAGGTAGGATATGAAAGGACTTGGTGGTTTATGAGATCTATAAGGTAAGGCAAAGGAAAAAGTCAAAAAAGAATACTTCAAATATGGGCTACAGGGTAAACTCATGCTACTGACAGAAATAATGAAGTTTAAGAGTATGCTTTCAGGGAAAGCTAATAAGCTTAATTTTAGACATGTTGAGATTGAGGTATATCCATGTAGAGATGGCCTACAGGCAGTTGGTGATTCAGGTATGATGCTCAGAAACAAGATTAGAGCTAGTTATCTAGATTTGAGAGTCATCTGCCTAGAAATGACAGGCAAAGCTCTGGAAATGATTTAGACTTCAAAGAGGAAAGAATGTAAAGAAAAGAGAATCAAGGACAAAACCTTAAAGGATCAGAAAGAGGATGAGAAGACAACAAAGCAGAACAAGAAGGAGCCATGAGGCAACTGGTAAGAAGAGAATAAGAAGAGAACTAAGGAGAAGATAGGGTTTCAAAAAGGAAGGGATATTTAAAAGTCTCATGCTGAACAGGATGAGGACTGAAAAAAGGTCATTGGATTTGATGATTAAGACTAATTGAATAGGTTTGCCACTGACATACTGTAAAGTCAGAAGGACACCCATACTCACATATATTTTGCTTTAGGGAAAGGAACTCATAAGGAATACCTAACAAAAGCTATCAAATTAATGACTCCTAAGGACTAAAGTTCTTACAAAAATGTTTTCCCCTTGTCAAGAACATGTTAAATTATTTAATACTAGTTAAGAAATAACTAAATATGCTTTTATTGGATCACAAGATTTTGGATTTAGAGCTGGAAGGTCCCTTAGAGTTCATTCAAATAAAAATACCTCAATTTATAGGAAACTGAGGCTCTGGGGGATTAAATGACTGGTCTAAGCTACCACTAAGTATTAAGTGGTAGATTTCAGATTTTAACCTAAGTTCTCTGATTCCATATTTGATATTTTTTCAGTGAATCATGCTGCTTTTCCATTTTTAAAAATCTATTTCCTTTATATTTAACGTCATAACTAGATAATTCTTTTTCTCTAAGCATTTCTATGACTGATAAAAATTTACTTTAAAAATACATTAATAGTATACTTTAAAAGGTTTCTGGATAAGACTGGAATTCTTCTGTAATCAAAATGAGATAGCTAGCACACGTAAAGCACTTGGAAAACTTTAATAAAGGTTTCAAAATCTTAAAAAAAGTTTCCTAAAAAAAATGAAAATATGCTAAAGCTATTATTATTATAGTTTCTTCTACCCCAAATAATAGAGCTTTTCCCATGGAGAACCTATTATGGGGTACAGAAGCAAATTAGCTAAGCATTCCAGTAGATAAACAGAAACAAGGTAGATAGAGAAGGAAAGTATTATTCAAGAATATGCAAATTAAGAAAAGTGCTTTAGCAAAGTTGTTTTGTTTTTATTTAATTCTGTTGGAAGTGTTTAAACAGAAAATTTAGTGTTTTCATGATACAGCAAAGGATGAAACTTAAAAACCAGATCACATTTTTCAAAATTACTTTTCATATATTAACCCATCTGAATACCTGTTAGATGTCCACTCATTGTTTTGTCGTGGCTATTGAACAGTTGCCTATATTTCAGTCTTGATGACTGAGGAACGGCCCATTCTGCCACAGGAGAGGCACTAAGAGAAGAATTTAAAAAGATAAAAATTAGTAGCAAGAATTTGTCTATGTCTATGATTTCCCTTTGCTTAAATTAACTGCCTTAAAAAAAAAAGCAGTAGCTTTCATTTCTTATTTATTCTCATATCTATTAATTTTCTATTTCAATATGCATATTTACCAAAAAGATAATCTATTCACCTTTTAACACAGACATAAATTCAGTCCAAATGGCTGTTCCAACTTACGGGCTCTATTTACTATATGCTGAAGGCTAGTCAAAAGGGATAGAAAATTGCTAAAAAGCAAAAGTGATAACATAGTGGTTGTTAATCCTATACCATTTCTATCACTCTAAAGTAAGGAGTGTCAACCTCTTAAGGCACTTAGGTCTTAATTTTTCACATACCAAAAATAAAAATATAGTTTTTTATTAAAGTGAAATGATAAGATGCTGTCATTCTGAGAGGTTTAAATTCCAACCAAGAGATACACAGTGGATCTCAGATGACAATGCTACAGGGAACTCCAGATAAGGAAAATCCCTCTACCAAGGTAGATCAGCCCCTTCCCTGCAATTTAAAGAGTCTTAGAGAACTGCCTAGTGCACTGAGAGGTTAATCGACTTGCCCAGAATGTGTCAGAGGCAAGGCAGTCTGGCTTCAAGGCTGGCTCCAAGCAGCATTGAAGACCTTTACAGACGAGGAACCAAATGACCTAATACTCACAAGGAAAACTGATGGCACAAAAAAAGATGGATGGCAACCCAATGATAAGCATTCTCTTGCCAATATGCCTTGACGCAGATACGAAGAAAATTCCTTTCCAGGACTTAATTTGGATCTAGATCTATTCAGGGATTAGTTGCTTAAATGATACTACCCATAGAATGACAAAATACTCTTGATAATGACACTTTTGAATTAGGAGCTGAACATAGACTACCAAGAAAATTAATCTAAAGTAACCTTTTATTTAAGCATAATGATGACATATCACTGTAGATGTGGGTTACAATTATTATTTCATCAAGACGTTTCTCTTCATTATACTACTAATGGCTAATTTCCATGTTACTCTGCAAAAGTTAAAACAACCAGAAGCTTAGCCTATCAATTTTAATTTCTGTTCTCTATATTAGATTTTTGTATATAACAGCGAATATCCTAGTATCTGAAAAATGTCTTTGTAAATTCAACTCTCCAAATTACAAAGTAATAGATATTTTTTCTAATACAACAATAAAGCGCTTTATAATAGTGACTATAAGGCACAAACATATGTTCATTCATATTGAATAATTAATTTCTGAAAGGTGACAAAAATTTACAATAAATTCTTTAAATGGGGAAAAAAACTTACAAGGAAGACTCCACCTGTGAATTCTGCTGTAATAATTCCCTCATTTTAAATAACTTAATATTCTGCTAATTTATATTCTTACTTTCTTATCAGAAGTTAATTTATCTTTATATTGCACTAACAGAGTAGAGGGAGTGTTACATATGAGTAAGGCGCCAGATTATACTTATCAAGTCAAGTGCTGTTCTGCAGCCTCCCTAAGACATAACTTTTCTAAACTAGTCATGAATTATGATTATTTGCAAGGAATTTAAACTATTCATATCAAAAAGATGACATCTTGAGGTGAGCTAGTTCTAACTGCACTAATATTTAGTACCATCATTTACATAACAAAAATCCCTCTAGGTTTTGAAGACCCCTGTGCATGGGACAGAAAACATTTTGTAAAGTCTCAAAGAACTAGAACCATAAATTTACTTAAAATTTAGAAACATAGTCAATATTGAGAAAGAAAAGGCAGTAAATGAAAACAAAAACTCACATAAAAGATTCAGTTAAAAAAACAAACAAACAACTTCCAAGTTAGTTCATGGGGTCAGAGTCCACTGTGCCCAACTTCTTACATCTACTAATATATAAACTTGAAATAAGAAGATAGATTTTCTTGTGTGGCTTTCATTATCATCATAACAGGCATACCGTAAATCAATGGCACTACACAACTTCTGCAAAGTTCTTCAAAACATATTTTTAAAATTATGTTCAACAAATTCTTCTGTAGACAAATAGAAGGCAAATGAAACAAACCATTTTATAAAGATTTTTAATTTAAAAAGAGTTTCTGGTTCACAATCAACCAAAGACTGAACTAAGTGGAACCTTCCTTTTAATGTCTAAAGACACAAAAAAACTATGAGAAAATTCTGAAGAATGCTTAAAAACAAAATCCTCTATTGTAATAGCAATTAAACACCTTTGTCTAGCATCTTTATATGGAAATTTCATTTTCTACTTTAAAATGTCTAATTCTAAGTAGGTAAATTGATTTTTTCATTGTATTTCTTTGTAATCCTGTGTATTTTATTTTATGCATTTAAAAACATTGTTAGTAGTCCACAGGCTTCACCAGAATACCAAATGAGTCCATGACACAAAAATAGTTATGTCTGTGCTGGAAGATGGACAGCATACAAAACCGTTCTTTAATGGAAATATCTTTGTAGGTGATACACGTAATGAATGAAGAAATACTATGCTGTTAGGAAAAATATATTTGGTAATCAAAGCACACAAGAAATAACAAAACCTGTTTTTCCTCAATTAATTCTCAGCATGAGCCAACATTTATAGAACACCAATGATATTTTGCATAGTTACAGAAATTATGTGATAAGAAAATAATAAAGACTGTTAACTCACTTTAAAATGTAGGTGTTAAATAGTTAATGAATTTATTATTTAATTAGGCCATTCATTAGTGTAATCAAAAGGCAAACAAACTTACCTAGCCACATCAAATGATTGTGCCTTCTGTAGTTTTGTATTTAACTGTGAACCTGGACCAGATCTATTAAAAGAAGAACTCTTTGGCAACGTGGCTGCAATAAGAAATAAATAGGAAAATCATACTCTGCAGTCTTCAAATACAAGCCAGAAATCAATCATTCTTCATCCCTCTTCCATAGAACACCCTTAAAGACACAAGAAAGCTGACTAAATTCCTTCCACTTTCTCTCCTTACTCTCTCCACCCTTATAATTCCTGATTTACACTAAAAAAGTCCTGAAGCAAACAATCATCCTTCCTTCCATGGAAAGTGCTGCTACCTCAATCATTCAGATTAACATTATTCAAGTTAATTACAGAATTATTTAACTGCTTAAAGAAAAACACAGGACAATATTTTATTGACTGAAAGCACATGAAGTAGAAGTTAGTTATGTAATTTCTCTATGTAAATGTACAATTAGTGTATCAGTTTTAGCTCATATTCACACAGACTGGTTTGCTTTGTATTAAAAAAAACTCCATTTCATATCTACAGACTGCACACCCCAACCCTATCAGCTGTTTTTAAAATGTGCAGCATTTCCAGGCAGAAAATTTGCAAACCCATAATCACTACTGGAAAAATAAGTGAAAAGGAATGCCTTATTGACGTTGATTCGGTAACACCTTCATATAACAAAGTCAAATGAGAAACCATTTTGTAAGCACCTAATATGTTCCAAGTACTGTATGAAGTATTAGGGATACAAAGAAAGATAAAACAGTCCCTGTTCTCAAGGAGCTCATGGTCTAATGGCAAAAACAACATGCAAACAACTAAGCACCAAAAAATATATACACAGGAAAGCTGTCCCAGAGGGAAGGAGCTCAGTTTAAGGAGGACCTCTTCTTGCAGAAGGTAAGACTTTAGCTGAGCCTTGAGGGAAAACAGGGAGGCCACCAGGAAAGGCAGGAGATGAAGATGAAGAAGGAGAGTATTCTAAGCAAGGGGAATAGCCAGTTAAAATGCTCCCCGTTGGGAGATGGAGTGCAGCATACAAGAAGGAGAAAGGAAGGCAGTTATCACTGCATTACATAGGAAGGGGCTATATTTCATCCTGGAGGTATGTGAATTATTTAGTTGTAATTTAGGGGAACATCAAGACCACTGTGGTAAGTTCAAAAGTGACTGTATAATACTTATGTCTAATTACAAAAAAGTCAAGTGAACTGTTAACATTAATTTAATGATAGGACTTGGTATATCATGACACTTTTGCATTTATGCAGATACATCTATAGTTACTTGTTTCAACATATCTACACAAACAGATTCATATATTAATGTGCTGTTAGATTAAACAAATATTTATGTATATATGTATATATATGTGTGTGTGTATATGTGTGTGTGTATACACACACACATACACACACACAGTATACATATAAGTACAAACACACACATACACACACACAAGATTCTCAGGATCAAAGCTCCAAAATGAAATAAACAAATTTGAGGTTATTTCAGTTTATGTCTCCATTTAAGTGTAAACCACCATGTGAATTAAACTTTCTTACTTATATTTCCATCATAGAAAACTACTTTTAATGGAGAAATACATTTTTCCTACACATACTTTCTCATCTTGTAGGCTGTTTGGTTTGTCAGTGACAAGGTTAATCCTTCTTAAATTATGATAAGAGCAGTTGAAAAAAATGAATAAACATTTGGATAAAATATAATAATGTACACAAAAAGTTTTGTATACCTTAAAATACTATATACATATTACTTATTAATATTGTTAATAATTATAAAAGCCGCAATTAATGCTTTAATTATTTGGTTTTTTTTTAATCAAGCCATTGCAAGAGATTTGTTTTCAGGGCTATTCATATTTGGTTCATATCTGTTGATAGTGGTACCCAGCTGTAATTTGCTCTCACAAACCTGAACCTCTCTGGCATATCATGTATTAGCTGTTTTGTTTTGTTTTGTTTTTTATTCTGCTAAAGGAAGAAATTATGTGAATCAACACAATGTTTCTCTCTGAACCCAAATATAACTAAATTACAATCAAGTGAGAGGCAGTGTTGCTTAGTAGATAGAGAGCTGGCCCAGCAACCAGGAAGACCCGGGTTCATGTTTACCCTCCAACACATATTGGCTATGTGACTCTGGGCAAGTCACTTATCCTCTTGCTTATATAGGCAAAGCTCTGAGGCAGAAAAGATGCCTATAGTCAGTGGTGATGGGAGGCAAGTCCTCTAAATCCCTCCAGTGAAAACACAGGTCCATGTCCTAACTCCTAAAAATTAAATAGCACTGAAAGTTTAACAGAAAGAACATTCAATATAAGCAAATATTATAAAAAAGTTATGAAAACTGGGCTTAAGTTATAATACTACATATAATAAATAAATAAGTTACATAATAATATATATATATATATATATATAATAAATATAATAAGTTACATACCAGGATGAGCAAAAGCAGGCAGAGATTGTATGACAGAAGGAGCGCCATTAGCCAGGGGAGGAACTGCTGTGGTAGGAACAGAAGATACGAGAGGTGGGGACATTCCTACTACTGGAATCGATGCCATTGGTACTGGAGCAACAGCTGTGAGAGATGGCATGTTGGCAATGCCTCCTATACCTAATGAACAGAAGACATTTAAATTAAATCCAGGTGAATCATTTACAACACAAGATTCCATTAGGCCAAGCATAAAAGGTTTTTTTCCTATGGTACCATGACAAATTTAGGTTTCGTATAAATAGTAAAATTACCAAAATGATTATTTGTTGAAAGCTTTTCAGTTCAACAACAAACATTCAACAGCAACGACATGCAAATTTCTGGGAATACAAAGATAAATGACACAGAAGTCTTCCCTTCATGGAGCTTATATTCTCTCTGGTGGATGGTGTATACAATTTGGCCACATAAGTAAAAAATACATTTAGGAAGGATGTGGAATGACTGGACAAAGGATATTTGAGAAGGAAGAAAAATACTTTCAGTTGCAGGAGATGAGGAAGGGGAAAGCTGGGAAGGCTGCATGGAAAAGTTATACAAAGTAATTAAGCCCTGAAGAAGCTAAAGATTCTGAAAGGCAGAAACAAAAAATGGGCACATTCCAAGTTTTGAGCCAGGACTGCAAATATGAAGGCACCAGGTCTGAAGACAGCATGCTAGAGAAGAGGGATAGCTAGCAGTACAGTTAGCCTGGATGTAGAGGGCATCAAGAGGAGCATTAATTCTCTATCCCACTCCCCACAACAGATGATCCAAAACTGTTTTCTCCCCAAGCGCATCCCCTCCCCTCCCACTCTTATCTAAGATACTCACCTCATTCTTGACCAAAAAAATCAAGCCTATCCACTAAAAATTCTTTCCTCTCTCCTTCTCTTGACATTCCCCACAATTTCCTCCTTTACTCCAGTCTCAAATGAAGAGGTGACCCTTCTCTTCACCAGGGCCAATCCCTCTAAAGGCATCCCTGAACCCATCCTCTTCTGTCTTTTGAAGCCAGTGCCTCCACTATCACATTCTTTCTTTCTCTTTAACCTCTAAACCCTCTGGTTCCTTCCCTGCAAGCCCAAGTCTCCCCTATCCTCAAAAGGCCCTCGCTAGATCCCAATAGCCCTAAGCATCATACTATATCTCTTCATCCTTTCTTAGCCACATTCCTTGAAAAAGCTCTCTAATGTATACTTCCACTTCCTCTACTTTTCAAATCCCCAAACCTAGCATCAGATCTCATCACTCATACTAAGCTGCTCTCTTTAGTTACCAATGGTCTCCAAATCACCAAATCTAATGGCCTTTCCTCAGTCTTCAGCCTGTTTCTGAGGCACTTGATCCCGTTGGTCATATTTTTCTCCTGGGTTCTCTCCATACCTGTCTGACCACTCCTCCCCATCTCCTCTACTGATTCATTATTCATGCCACATCCACTAACTCTGGGTATAGCCTAAGGCTCTGTCCTGAAGGCCTCTTCTCCTTTCTCTAGACACTCTCTCCCTTGGTGGCAGCTCAAAATGAGTTCAATTATCATCTCCATACATATGACTCAAAGGACTATAGTCTAGCCCAAGTTTTCTTCTGAGCTGTTGTCATTCCCCCTCCCCCTCTGTCCTGCACCTCCAAAGCTTGTTCTCATCCTTAAAATGATCTCCAGTCCCTCTGCCCGCAGTTCTCTCCCAGACCATCACACTGTCCTTACTATATTTTCTCCTTTCTTTATGCTGACACCTTAGTGAACCAGTTCAACTCTGTACTGACCTCTTCTCTGAGTCATTTGCCTCCTTATCCTACTGACCTTCTTGCCCTGTGAAGCCTCAGCCTGTACTAAACCCACAATCTACTGCCTACATTTCTACTCATGTACTATTGAATGAAACTGGAGAAAAAACACTAAGTCATGCTGAGTCCACTACAAATTTATGTTACATAAACTCAACTGGGTCCTCACTCTGACAAGATAATTCTTTTATACCTCCCTAATCAATTCACTGTCCTACTTACCACAGTGGCTTTTCCAAACCTTTTCATCCCTCCTCAAACTTCCCATGCCACGCCCCCCGAAACCCCACCCCTTGGCTCAGGACCTTGCCTCACATTTCACTGAAAGAGTTAAAGTTGTTTGCCAGGAGCTCCTTCTACTTCCTCCTAATCTCACCTCACCTCACTTAGATGCTTTCAGTCACTGTGTCCTCTTTTGTCCCTGTCTCATATGAAGAGATAATTCCTCTCACCAAGGCTAACCCCTCTACATATACAAATGATCTGGTCTTTTCTAACAGATTGCCCCTTCTACTATCTCTACTCTCCCACTAATCTTCATTCAGTTTATTGGCTACTTTCTGACTGTCTATAAACAAACCAATGTCTTCCCTAGCCTCAAAAAGATCCTTACTTGATCCTTCCATCCCCTGTCCTCTCTTTTGTGGCTAAACCTCTTGAGAAGGCCATGGCATTCCTTCTTCCTCTCTTCTTAACTCTCTGCATTCTGGTTTCTAATCTCATCATTCAACTTAAACTTTGCTCTCCACAGTTACCAATGATCTCTTAATTGCCAAATCTAATAACCTTTTCTCAATCGTCATCTTTGAATGCTCTGCAGCCTTTTACATCACTAATCACTCTCTTCTCCTTGATACTCTCTAGATTTGTCCTCCTACTTATCTGACTACTCCTCAGTCTCCTCTGATGGATCATCATACAAGTCATATCCACTCATTGTAGGTGTTTTACCATACCCCTCCCCATTCTGTCCAGGGCTGCCTTCTCTTTAGACACTATTTCACTTAGGGATCTCATCGGCTACCACAGATTCCATTTTCACTTCTATGCAGATGATTCTCAGATCTACTTATCCAGAGAGCACCATTATTCTCCCAGTCACCTAATATTCACAATCTCAATATCATCCTCAACTACTCACTTTCACTCACTCCCTATATCCAATTTGTTGCCAAGTTCTGTACATTTTACCTCCATTACATTATTTTGTATGCTACTCCTCTAATTTTAGTCACATTTTGCAGAGACTAAAAACCATGCAATTGATCAAAAAACAAGGTCTACAGTTTTATTTTTTGAGTGATTTAAAAACATTTTCATAGAAATTTTTATTTTCAGATGAGCTTTCTGTATTTTATCAATAAAGAACAGTAATGAAAGTCATTATTAATAGCAGAGACCAAGCCTGTGAAAAACTATGTGCACCTAAATTTGTTTGTAGAAAGTCCATTTATAGTTATTTATTGAAAAGTTTCCTTTTTCTGTATTTTCGATGGTTCAGATGCTTGGCAAAGCAAGATAAGCAACAGGATAATGCAGCAAGAGACTCAAGAGAAAAGGACAATATAGAGTCATCAAGGTGTCACAATGGGGAAAGTGGAGGAGTATAGTCAATGCAGGGATGATAGCCTGGGGAAAAACAGAAGGCTTCAGAGACTCGAGGTGCTACCAGTGGGGCATAGAGAAGGGCTTCTATTTCACATTTTTTATTGTTTCAGAAAGTTCAAAAACTCTCTCAATTATGTTTAAACTGAATATTACAAATCTTAAAAAAAATCTAAATAGTATAAAAAACCAGAATGGAAAAAGTCAGACAGATGTCAGATCATGTCGCCATTGTCCTATAATCAGTTATGTGAAACCAAAATAGGAATAAAGAATCAAGGGACAGCTAGGTGGTACAGTGGATAGAGCTCCAGCCTTGGAGTCAGGAGGAACTGAGTTCAGATTCAGCCTCAGACACTTGACACTTACTACCTGTGCAAGTCGCTTAACCCTGACTGACTCACCCAAACAAAAAAAAAAATCATAGGAGCACAGACTTAGAGCTGGAAGGGACTGTATGAGGATGATCAGATCAATTACGTTTTGTAATAACATCATTCACAACTTACAACCAAAATTCAATTTAATATTTAGCTAATCAACCATTTATAACCTTGTTCTTTTTGGAACTTTCTCCTTTCGTCTCACTTCCTAAAACTGGAGGAGTTTCCCCCCCCAGAACAAAACGCTATAAAGCAGGCCTGCACAACCTGTGGCCCACAGGGCACCTATGGCCTACAGGCACAAGGCGGCCAGCAAAAAACGTAGAGGACGTTTACCTCCACATTTCCTCGTGGGCTGCCTGAAATCCTTTGGCAGGCCACAGGTTGCGCAGGCCTGCTATAAAGTATGCTGACTTAGATTATCGTACTGATTCCGTATTTCTGAGAATGAGAACTCATTTTTTAATTAAAAGACTTTTTAACTCCTACATGTTAACAGTACTACTATTGATATCTATTGAGTAAATATATGACAAAAAGCTACTAAGAAATTATGAATGCTTTTAAACAATTTTATTCACTACAAAAGCTTCTATGTACATGTGAAAAATTATAATGCAACTATGAACAAGACATTTATTCAAAGTACAGATGTTTTCTTTTTTTTTTAAGAGTCCTCTAATGAGAAAGATTGGCACTGACTTGCATCATTAAGATTGAGATGTCTGGTTTAAGTGATAAATTTCAACCTCATATCTACGTCCACATATGAATTCCCAGATCCCACTGCTGTAGAACGGAGTGGGAAAATGAGAAACTAACTTTACACGAATACGGAAGTGGCTTTAAAAAGCAATTATGCTGGCAGAGCCAAGATGCTGGATCAGAGGCAACTCAACTGAACTCTCTCAACATTCCCCTTCAAACAACTTCAAAATAATGTCTAAAAGCAGATTTTGGAGTGGCAGAGCCAAAAAAAAAAAAAAAAGGTCAGTGGAAGATATTTTTCTGACCTAGGAAAACTTAGGAGGTTGGCAGGAAAAGTTTGTGACATCGGGACAGAAGCCTCTCCAGAGCCCCCACATGAGGCCACAGCCACAGCAGCAGCAGCTTCAGGAGCTCTAAGCACAGAGATGGAAGGGGGCTGAACAACTAGTCAGAAAGAGATTACAGAGGGGGCAGCTAGGATAGAGTACGGGCCCTGGATTCAGGAAGACCTGAGTTCAAATCTGACCTCAGACGCTTGACGCTTACTAGCTGTGTGACCCTGGGCAAGTCACTTAACCCCAATTGCCTCACCAAAGAAAGAAAGAAAGAAAGAAAGAAAGAAAGAAAGAAAGAAAGAAAGAAAGAAAGAAAGATAGATTACAGAGGGGGCAGCTAGGTGGCACAAGTGGCTAAAGCACCAGCCCTGAAGTCAGGAGAACCTGAGTTCAAATCCAGCCTCAGACACTTACTAGATGTGTGACCCTGGGCAAGTCACTTAATCCCAACTGCCTCAAAAAAGAGAGAGATATATCACAGGGCATGGTTTATTGGCACTAGATACAGCTGAGACTGACTGACAACCCTGTTGCCCATATACAGTTCCGAGTCATAATTCTAGGGCAGAGAGGAGTGGTAGGATTTGGTCACAAGGCAAACAGAGTGCTTGCAGCAGCAGGGGATCAAAGAACTTTTCTAGGTAAAGAACAAAGTCTTTTGGTCAGGAGAGCAGCGGCCATAGCTCTTCAAGCATCACACCACCTTGGAAGCACCAAAAACTTGCAGAGGCCCAGAACTAGCTCTGAAAATAGCAACACAAAAAAGCCTGAAGCTTGAAACAGTGCCTCTCCAATCCCAGGTGAGCAGAGACCAACTTTAACATAAAGTTCAAAGTCAAGAAATAGAATGGGAAAATGAGGAAAAAAAGAAAAAAAGAATTTGATCATAAAAAGCTACTACAGTGGCAGGGAAGACCATGACATACACTCAAAAGACAACAATGTGAAAACAGCTATAAACAAAACAACAATGTGAAAAAGAGCTACATGCAAAACTTCGAAGAAAAATGCCAACTGGATTCAATCCAAACAAGAATTCCTGGAAAAGTTAAAGAAAGAGATAAGAGTGGTAGAGGAAAAATTAGGGAAAGAAATGAGAGTGACACAAGAAAGTTATGAAAAAAGAATTAACAAGCTTGGTAAAAGACAAAGACACACACACACACAAAGGAAGAAAATAACACCTTAAAAACAAAAGTGCCCTAATGGTAAAAAGAGGCACAGAAAATTCATGGAGAAAAGAACTCCTTAAAAAGCAGAATGGAACAAATGGAAAATGTGGTACAAAGGCTCACTGAAGAAAATAATTCTTATTACCCTTTGACCCAGCAATAGCACTTCTAGGGCAGTATTCCAAAGAGATCACACAAATGGGGAAAGGACCCACACGTACAAAAATATTTATAGCAGCTCTTTTTGTGGTGGCAAAAAACTGGAAATTGAGGGAAGGCCCATACACTGGGGAATGGCTGAACAAGTTATGGTATAGGAATGTAATGGAAAACTATTGATCTATAAGAAATGATGAGCAGGCAGACTTCAGAAAAACCCAGAAAAACTTGTATGGACTGATGCTGAGAGAAGTCAGCAGAATCAGGACAACGTTGTACAACAGTAACAGTCACATTGTGTAATGACTGACTTTGATAGACTTAGTCCTTTCTCAGTAATGCAAGGATCTAAGACATCTCCAAAGGTTTCATGATGGAAAATGCTGTCCACATCCAGAGAAAGAACTATGGCGTTTGAATGCAGATTGAAGCATACTATTTGCTCTTTGTTTTTTCTGTTGTGTTTTGTTTCCTCTTTCTGATGGTTCCTCCTATTGGTTCTAATTCTTCCCTGCAACATCACTAATGTGAAAATATGTTTAATAGGAATGTATATGTATAGCCTATATCAGATTGCATGCCATCTTGAGGGGGGGGAGGAGAGGGAGAAAAATTTAAAACTCAAAAAAACTGTTGATAAATCAAAATAAATTAATAAAAAAAAAAGAAAGAAAGAATTCCCTAAAAATTAGAACTGGGCAACTGGAAGGCTAATGACTCCACAAGACATAAAGAAACAATAAAACTGGAGCAGCTAGGTGGCACAGTGGATAGAGCTTCAGCCTTGGAGTCAGGAGGACCTGAGTTCAAATCCGGCCTCAGACACTTGACACTTACTAGCTGTGTGACCCGGGGCAAGTCACTTAACCCCAGGGGTAGAGAAGGAGGAAGAGAAATGATAATAGAGAGGATGGATTTAGGGAGGCAGTGGTTCGAAACAAAACAGACTTTTGAGGAAGGACGGCATAAAAAAGAAAGAGAAGAAGAAACAAAAGAAAACGAGATGGAGGGAAATACACAATAATCATAATTGTGATTAGGAATGGGATGAGCTCACCTATAAAACAGAATCAGATAACAGAATGGATTAGAAACCAAAATACAACAATATGTTTTTCACAAGAGACACACTTGGAACAGAAACACACACTCAAGAGTTAAAATAAAGGGCTGGAACAGAATCTAATATGCTTCAGCTAAAGTAAAAAAAAAAAATCAGGGATAACAATCATGATTTCAGACAAAGCAAAAGCAAAAATAGATCAATTTAAAAAAGATAATCAGGGAAATTACATTTTGCTAAAGGTACCATAGACAATGAAGCAGTATCAAAAAAATTTATGCTAGTTTCTCTAATAAAGGCCTCATTTTTCAAATACATTGTGCATAGAACCGAGTCAAATTTATAATAATAAGCCATTTCCCAACTGGCAAATGGTCAAAGGATATGAACAGACAGTTTTCAGACAAAGAAGTCGAAGCTATCTATAATCATAATGAGAAAAATGCTCTAATCACTATTAATTAGAGAAATGCAAATTAAAACAACTCTCTAATACCATCTCATACCTATCAGAAATGACAAATGCTAGAAGAGTTGAGAGAAAAATCAGTACACTAATAAACTGTTAGTAGTTGCAAACTGGTCCAACCAATTTGGACAACAATTTGGAACAAGGCCAAAAGGGATATAAAACTGTGCCTACCTTTGATTCAAGAATTACTACTACTGGATCTGTATCCCAAAGAGACAAAAGGGAAAAGACATATATGTAGTACTTATAGCAGCTCTTTTTTGTGGTGGCAAAGAATTGGAACTGGAGGGGACGCTCATCATTTGGGGAATGGCTGAACAAGTTGTGGCACATGATTGTGATGGAAGACTACTGTGTTGTGGGAAATGTGGAGGGGGGTGGTTTCACAAAAACATGACATGACCTATATGAACTGATGCAAAGTGAAGTGAGAAGAACCAGGAGGTCATTGTGCACAGTAACAGCAATGTTGTGATGATCAACTATGAAAAACTCGTCTACTCTGATTAATAAAATGGTTCAAGACAATTCCAAAGGACTCAGGATGAAAAAATGCTACCCACTTTCAGAGCAGGAAGTGATAAGCTGAGTGCCAGCTGAAGTAAAATTTTCTCACTTTCTTCATTTTTCTTGCTTTTTTGTTGAAATGTGGCTAATATGGAAATGTTTTGCAGGATTTCATATGTATAACTGACATCATATTGCTTGCCTTCTTCACTGGGTGGGGAAGGTAGGAGAGGGGGAGAAAATTTGGAACTCAAAATTTAAAAAAGAAAAGAATGTTTAAAAATGATAATAAAAGTTTAAAAATAAAGAAAAAACCAATTACATTGCTAACTAGCATGAACCTGCAAATCATAAAATACAGTATTCCCGCAATGCTCCAATGATCAAAGGTGATATTACGATCATCAGGAGAATTAAAGATGCTACAGAATAAGAAGTAAAAAGGCAGTGTGTGACAAATGGAGATCAAGAATTCAATGAAATAAAGAGAGAGACATCTGTGAAAAGTATATCAAGAGAATGAAAGCTTTTTCTGTTAATGCATTTATTTTTGTTGTAATGTTAACTAGTATGAACATGCTTTCGAATTGCTTGTGAGACCATCCATGACAGATCCACTTTTTTCCAGAACAGATAAAATATCCCCTGAATTACCATATTACACTCAAGAGAAAACAAAGGTATCATTTTTGTTTCTAAACATTAAAAGAAACAGAGAAATAACATAAAAGTTAAGTCATCTTCAGACTTACCAAATGTGGGTGCACCAGAAATAGCAACAGGTTGCTGTTTCATGACAGGAGGAAGTGCAGCAGGTAGCTGATAACCTTGTAGCTTCAGTTTGATAAGTTTCATTGCTATAGAAAATTCTATCTGATCCATTCTCCCATCATTGTTCATGTCAGCTAGTGCCCTGAAATTCAATGCCATGAACCTTTTTTAAGAACTGGAACCTTAAAGAATCTTTTTAAAGCACTAAAAACTGAACCCCTGAATCCTTTAACTCTCTGCAAAGTACCCCAAACTTCCAAATTGTAAAAATCAAGCTGATTAGTTAACTTATAAATGGCTTATTTAAATCTGTAGTACTGTCAAGGTACTTCTTTAAAAAAAAAACCTTTAACTTTTCTCAATTAAGGAGTGTTTTCAAAATGTTAAAATATATAACCTTTGAAAACTGTTACTCTATCACTGTGTTTGAAATTTTTTTTAAAACTAAAAACAAAAACAACTTAACATATCACTCCAACTATAAGATTTGCACTTCGGGCATCACAAAGAATTTAAATGTAGACAATGTATTTCCAAAGAAATTTGGCCCAAACTGTACAAACTCCCTGTGCGGTTCTGCAAATCTCACCATAGGACACTTTTTTAACTGACAAGTTGATGCTTCCACAGCTAGTGCAGCTAACTTCTCTTTAGACTCTAGACCTTTGTGTCTTAACAACACAGCGACTGTGCTGTTGCAAATGGTACTCCAACATAAATTGTCCAAGTACAGCAAGAAAATGGAGTTTCATGTAAAATAGCTTTTTTTCAAAGAATAATGAACAAAAGGAATAAAAGGGAGCACCTGCAGAGATTATGAAAACAGTACAGTGGTTGCCACTAGTTTCTGCAATTGGAAACCACATTATACAGGACGTCCCAAAAGTCTTAGTATATATTTGGGCTTTACTAAGACTTTTAGGACACCCTATACAATGAAAAACTCAAAATATTAATGATCTCACTACTTAAAACATTTGTTTGTTTTTTATAGGATTACTCATTCAGATTTGGTATTCTTTGGCCCTGCAAGAAACTTAAGATTTAGCTAGCCATTAAAAATAATTTTATTTGAAACATTTTACTTAAAACATAAAAAACACACATACCTCTGAGTAACATGGATTTCTAATGAGAAAATCTGGCTGCCACTTAGTAGTTACGAAGCCTTGAGCAAGTAACTTAAACCTTTCTGAGCTTTAGTATCCTCAGAACAGAGATAAAGACATTTGTTCCTGGGCTCATTGTGAGACTCAAGTGAGAAAATGTATGTTGATTGCTTTGTAAATATCAAATGTGATAAATAATACAAGCTGCTATTATTGGTGACAATAACAGCAATAAAAATGCCAAGAAAAGGAATATTTTAGGGATGAAAATGTCAAAACAACATACATATTACTTAAAAGAAAAAAATTCAGTTGCATAGACTTCTCTTGGTATTATGATTACAGTTAACTTATCAAAGTTAATACTTATCAAAAACAAGAATTGCCTGGGCATCTTGCCATAGGAATCCAGCAATATAAATCAAATTTGAAGTTCAGATTAAAAACTGGGATAACATAATTACAAATGTGATATCCCCTAATGATTAACATTTTCCCAAAATTGAAGGAGCATAGACAACAAAAGTTAAAACTCAGTAATATCTTGTAACATTAAGAAAGGTGAGCCCCTTAAAAAGAAAAAAGATGGCTACCCATTTACATGGCTATTTTTACTTCCTTTCTGCTCAAGATAAGAGATCCCGAACTTTATTAAGACAATGACTAATCCTCAGGGACCATGCCAGAACGTCAGGGAAATAATAGGATTCAAGTACTGCAAGAATTGGTGCTGTGAGGAAGCTTGGCTAGGCAACAAAGATTTGAAAGACTGATTAACATCACCAGTATTTAAGCTTCCAACTACCACTTGGTGGAATCTGATTAGCTTGGCAAAAAAAAAAAGTTTTAAAAGGCTGGGAAATAGGCACATGGGAATTCATAGAAGATTCTGAGTGACTCACTCATGTTTAAAAAAAAAAAGAATTGCAAAAATCAAAACAGAACAAACCTCAACTGTACAGGGCTAGAAATTTTTTTCTTTCCTAACTCTTCTTCTTAAGAAGAATCTAGAGAATATTCCAATAAATATTTGGGAAAGTTGAACATTGACTTACTAGCATTTCAAGTATCTATGTGAATATTAAAACCATTTTCTTTTTTCTGTCAAAATAACATAATGTTTTTGGATTACTAAGAGAAATCACTGAGCTAATCTTCAGTGTTGGGAAAGACCTGCAGACGATACAAAACAGATCTCAAAACATAACTGACGATGTTCTCTGCATTTAAATTAAATGTAAGGTAAAATCCCTTAGGAACTTAAAAAAAAGTGTATATAAGTCTGGCCTCAAGTATGCAGCTATGTAAGAAAATGCTGGTGGATAATTTTATTTTTCATGTTAATTTGAAATGTCATTAATACCACATTAGCTTGGAATTCCACAACTAAATAAGAAAAGCATTGCTCATGGCAGAAGGCAATAAACTAAATGCTGAGATTCTCTAGGCCCCAAAATACATTTTCAAGTACAAAATATTTCAGATTTTTTGAGTGAGGAAACAAACAGCTAATCTTGCTCAAATTATTTTGCTTGCATGCTAAAGTACTGCCCTCTATCTGACCTTGGTTTACAGAATGTTATTTCTAGCAGCAAGGGATTTACACTGGTGCTCTGGTGAAACCATATGCACTACTATTTTTAACTATATAAAGGGGAAAACTATCTTTGAATTCAGGCAAAATAGTGAATTTTCTAATCTGTATGTTAACTCAGTAACACATTACACAAAATACATCTGTACAAAATTATTAACTAAAATATGGTATACTTTTGCTACACTTTGCTAAGCTTATGTAGTGGAAATGCTAATACAACCCCTGAATCTTAGAAAGAGAAAAAAAAGACTTAAATGATCATTTATTTTAGAAATCAGGAAGCCAAGAGACAAAGAAGTTAAACAACTTGTCCAAGGTTACACAGCTAGTCAGCAGAATAGCAGAAGCAGAACCAGGATGACAGGTAAGATTCACAGATCAGGGCTAGAAGGGACCTCAGAAAGCATCTAGTCCAAACATCTCATTTTACTTATGAGAGAACCAAGGTCTAGGGAACTTTAATTCTCAAGGTCACACAGATCATGAGCCATCTTTAAAGGTCTGGGCCTCATCCTCTGATGCCAGAGCCTCTATTCTTTCCCATATTCCACCCTGTCTCCCCAGAATCCAGGTTTCTCGATTCCTAGTCTAGGCTCATGCCAACATATACTGCACTACTTACTGCCTTTCAAAGAAAATCTATTTCTAAGTTCAGATTATGTTACTATGGGACTATATAACTGGAGAGTTAGTTACTTCTTTAAGAGATTTTAAAGTTAAAGTAGTTAAAGGATAAATAAATACTTTGGTACTTAAAACAAAAAACCTATAGCTATCTGGAAAACTCATTCCAAAAGGACTCATTCCTGCAAAAGACAACAATATGAGCCATTTATTATTTTTTCAAAGAAATTGGCTCCAACCAATAAAGAACCTTTTCAATGCATAGATCAAGAAGAGCAGGCAGTACCTTTATTCTTAAAAATGACTGTCTTAATAGTGAATTTTAAGACACAGGATATTCAATTGAATTTTGGTTTTAGGAGTCTTAACTTCCATTCTCCAGCACTGTCCTAACTTCCCATATAGAATATACAATGTAAATATCACCAAAAACAAAGGAAAACTTTTTTTTACATATATCAGCATACATTTTCAACTTACCATATCTGTGCTAAAACAGGTTGAGGTAACCCAGATTGAAAAAAAAAGTTTCTGGCTTGATCACCTGTAAATTAAAGGAAGATTGTTTCAAAAGAAATTAAAGTCATCAGAAAATGATTAAAGCAAAACTATCCAAAATTGAAATGCAAATTTAAGAAAGATGCTGAAATCTGTATAAAGACTGAACTTATTTTCTCCTAATACATAAGGGAAAAGAAGAAGATCAAAATAAAAATCAAGCTGATTTCATACAGGCATAGGTGATTTTATTGCACTTCACAATACTATGATTATTTTTGTTTTTTTTTAAACAAATTGAAAGTTTGTGGCAACACTGCTGTCGAACAAGTCTATCAGTGCCATTTTTCCAATAACACATGCTCACATTGTGTCTCTGGGTCATATGTTCATAACTCTTGCAATATTTCAAACTTTTTCATTATTATTATATTGTGATCAGTGATCTTTGATGTTACTATTATAATTGTTTCGGGGTACCCCAAACCACACCTATATAAGATGGTAAACTTAATCAATAAATGTTGTGTGTTTTCTGACTGCTCCACCAACCAGCCATTCCCCCATCTCTCTCCCTCTCCTCAGGCCTCCCAATTCTCTGAGACACAACAATACAGAAGAACATTACATAAACTTAGTTGATAAAGCAGGGGAAGGGCTTGAGAAGACTGACTCCAATTTTGAAAGAAGTTCTACTGTGGGTAAAATGCTATCAAACAACATCACATGCCACAGAGAAATCTTTGCTGAAAGGAAGAGTCAATTGATGTGACAAACTTCATTTTCACATTTTAAGAAATTGCCACAACCACCCTAACCTTCAGTGACCAGCAGCTTGATCAGTCAGCAGCCATCAACATCGAGGCAAGACCTTCTACCAGCAAAAAGATTATGACTCACTGAAGGCTTAGATAATGGTTATAATTTTTTAGTAATACAGTATTTTTTAATTAAGGTATATACACATTGGTTTTTTAGATATAACACTACTGCACATTTAATAGACCATGGCATAATGTAAACATAACTTTTATACACACTGGGAAACCATAAAATTTGTGTGACTTGCTATACTGTGATATTTGCTTTATTGTAGTAGTCTGGAAACAAATCTGCAATACCTCTGAGGTATGCCTATACTCACTCATAAAGTGACTTGGAAAAGGTTTACCTAACATGGTTATACTAGTTAATTCCACGTCAAAGATAATTTACCATTAAAATGCAGCTCTTTGTATCTTCTTAGAGAAGAACAAGACAAATGTGCTTCCTCTTGTTTTAGAGTTTGTAAGCCAGACAAAAATCAAATTTAATACATACTTTTTGTGCAAAAAGGAAATATATATATATATATATATATATATATATATATAATCTCCAAATAATCCCTGACACAAAAACAGGAATTGATGGAAAAATTGGAAAAGTTTAGCAAAAAATAAGCTCAGACCAACAGCTTTTGCAACATAACCCAAAAGTTACAAATGGATGCTCAACTAAAATATAAAAAATTACATAATAAAACAATTAAAGGAGAATGGACAGAAGTACCTTTCACACTTATAACTAAGGAGAAAATCCTTAACTACTCAAAGGATAGAAGAGAACACAAAAGGTAAAATTATTTGATTACATGATGTTGAAAGGCTTTTGCATGAAGAACAATACAACAAGGAAATTGTTAATTGGGGAAAAAATATTTGCATCATATTTCTCTGATAAAATCTAATATCCAAGATATAGAGAGAAGTAACACAAATATAATAGCCACTCTTAATAGCTAAGTAGTCAAAAAACATGAACAAACAGTTCTGAGAAGAATTGTAAACTATTTTTGACATTTAATATTACTCCAAATCGCGAATGAATTAGAAATAAAATCAATTATGAAATTTTACTGCACTATTTTTTTAACTCTTTGTCACAAAAGAAGGTTCTCTGGGCGTAAACAGGGATAGGGAATATTAGGGTACGAATGTGATAAAAAACAAAAAGCTATCAATAAAATTGAGAGAAAGAGAGAGACAGAGACAGAAAAACAGATAAACAGAGACAAAGACAGAAACAGAGAATGAGAATATTTTTCCCCATCCTCAATTCTACACACTTAAAATTTAGGGTACTTTTTGATGTAGCGAAATCTTCCAGTATAGTGAATAATTAGAACAGTTAACATAGTGAATAACTATATATCCAGCATAGGAAATAACTATAATAATTAATCTTCCCCATTTTTATTAAGCCAACACCAGTTGAGTATTTAAATAATCAATGTAAATTAAAGGTACAAAGATGGGAAATTTAAGCAGAATAGCAAAGTGGTATCAATAATAAAAAGAGATGATCAACCCCTATCAGTAAATTGCATCATGGAAATGGCAAGCCAAAAACACTCGGAAGGAAGCACTTACTCGCCTCCCGTTACTTACCTCCCACTCCACTTCAATCACCACAAGGGGGGTTAGACTTCACCAATTTAGAAATGTTCAACTTCTTGTCAGACAAAAATGTTGAACAAAAATGTTCAAAAGTTTATTTTTGCACTTATGACTCCAGTCCCCTGAGTCCTTCCCTGATCTCCAAGTCTATTAGTCATGTTCAGTCTAACTTTCCAGTCTTACTCAGTCTTGACCCAATGGCCAGCCATTTCAACAATTGCAATCCTTGTAATCTTTTACTGATTCCCATCACATTAGGCAAAACAAATATCTGAAAATGTCTTTCCTTAGATGTTCTACTTTACCCTTCCCCTCTCCCTCTCAGTAAATACCTTCATCTCTTTATTTACTAAGAAAATAGAAGACATCTGGTATGAATATACTCAATTCCTCTCCTTGATCTCTCTCAATGCTGTCACCCATCCTAACTTCTCTAGTTATTAAGAAATAGCCCTTCTTCTTTTTTCCAAGGCTGATCCTTTGACCTGTTCCTTCAAACCCCTTCCCTAAAAGGCCTTGATCCATAAATTATTTCTCTTATGCATTTTCAACTTCCTCTCTACTGGCATATCAGGGTTAGCCTACAGGAAATCTCAAGTCTAAACACTGCGAAACAAACTAACAGGCAAAAATACCCACCAAAAATGAACAAAAAAGACCCAAAAACAAAAACTTTCACTTGACTCTCTCTACTCCTAGTTTCACAGCCAAACTCCTAGAAAGAATAGCCCATATTCACTGCTTCCACTTATTCACCACCCACACATTTTTCAAACCCTTTTGATTTTGCTCTGGTCCCCATTTGTCTCTTTGAACGTTAAGACTTCATAATTAAATCAATTAGTCTTTTTACTATACTTGTATTCCTTGACCTCTCTGCATAAGCTGACACCTCCTTCTTAATAGCCTCTCCATACACTTCGGTTATACTATACTCTCACGACTCTTCTTCAACTTCAATGCCCACTTCTTCTGTCTCCTTTCTCATCTTCTCCCACTCAATACAGTGTGGTGGTCCCCCAAGTTTTTGTCCTTGCTCCTTTTCTTTTCTCTTTTTACATGCCTTCCCCTTGGTATCATATCCATTCCCATGACTTCAATTAAGAGTTCTAAGTAAACAACTCTCAGATCTACATATTCATTCCAATCTCTCCTTAAGAGTTCTAATCCTGTAACTCTTACTGCCTGAATATTCATTTAGTCTGCAAACATTAATTACTTATGTGCAACACGCAAGATATCGATGGAGACACAAAATTTAGCTATGACATAGCTCCTATTCTCCATGAAATTTATGACCTAAAAGGGGAAGAAGATACAACTAAAAATGGCTATACTACACAACATTATGAGATAAGTACCTTAAAATGCTTCCAAATAAGATGTTACATTAATGTCTGGGGGAGGCAGTCATAATAAAGACTTCATGGGGACAACAGTACTTAAATTACACTTTAAAGGATGGATGGCAATTCAATAAGTGATGAAATGAAAAGTGACCATCCAAGGAACAGTGAAAAAAGATGCATAGCACATTTGAGAGGCAGAGTTATCCAGATTTGTTCTAACTGTAATGTTGTGCAGGAGCTCAAAACTCAAGATGTCCAAAGCTAAATTTTTCTTTCCTGAAAAACCTGCTATTCTCTCTACCTTCTCCATTTCTGTTGCTAGCAATCTTCCCAATTCCCCTGGTTCAAAAATCTAAGTGATGTTTGACTTTTTCCTTTCTCACTAAATCAAATTATACTGAGGCCTGCTGATTCTGCTTCTATAACATTTAGCTTTATCTTTCTAGTCTCATTAACCAAATTCATTGTGTCCTACCTTAGACTACTGAAATAGACTCCCAACTATCCTCTCTTCCTTCAGTATATGCCCACTCTAATACATCATTCCACTGCTTTCATTGTTCTCATTCATCTACTCAAAATATTTAAGTGGCTCCCACTGCCTATTGAATAAAATATAAATTCTTAATCATAGCATCTAAGGTCCTCCATAATCTGGCTACTAACCACCTTTCCAAACTGCTTCACGTTCCATATTTTATATTATTCTATAATACTTACTGCAAGGTATAGGCTGTTCCTCATAATTATGCTATACTCATTCCTGTGTTTTTGTTCATACTTCACACCTCCATGTCTGAAATTGCTCCGCCCCATCTAACTCAGTATTTATCACATTGTTCCTTTCATCAGTTATTTATATTCACATATTTTACCCTCAATTAGAAGCAAGTTCCTTGCCTTACTATCTTTGTATTACTGGTATCTAATGCACAGAAATCAATGAATAAATGTGTTTTGAATTAAGGGCAGAGAAAAGCCAGGCAAAATGATTTAGTGGATTGGAAATTGTCATATCCCAGAGCTTTAAATAAATTTTTTTTCACAAACAAAAACACCATCAAAAAATAAAAATAAAATATAAAAATACTGTATACAACTACCAGTAATAAACCCAGATGTTGGCTTGAGACTATGGAACTGCTGATCATGCTTTGCTCTTTCTTCTACAGTTATGGCCCAAATATCCAGGCTGCCTGTAAGTTGATAAGGAAAAAAAAACAAAAACAAAAACAAAAACAGAGAGAAATGTTACTTAACTGTACTATTTCTCTGACCTTCTGAATTGCTTTAAAAACCTCAAAAGATTTATGATTTCAACAATGTGGGCATACCCTCTACTGATACAAATCATAACTTTTCTCATGCCTTTTACTTAGAAGTCTTTATTAGTTACTGTGGAAAAAAGTTCATTGCCTAGAGACCAATCTTTTAGTGATGATGATCCTCTTAAAGCCTGGCTTGGATGGTCATCAGATGACAGTCATCATGAGCTCCTTGCTCAAAACCATTCTAGCTCTATTGGATCTGCCAGGGCTTATGCTCTGCTCACAAGGCCTTCTAGAACCCAAGATCACATAACATACCATGACTAGGCATAAGAGAGTAGGGTGTATGGCAGGAAAATTCTATAAGTAGTTCTCAAGAAGTTGAATAAAGGAGGAATTTATCTTGGAAAATTAAGCATTTATAAAACTTTCATATAAAAGTAGTCAAATTAATCAAAAGGTTCCACAATCCTGGCAGGACTGCGTGAAGCACAGAAATTTAATCAGCTCTCCCTGCTTTCATTCAAACTTGTTAGTCTATTTTATTTAAATAAACCTGCATACAATCTACTGTATTTGTTGCAATTTTATGTGCTTTATCTGGTGCCAGCTGCTGTCAGAACTGGCATTCGGCTTCTAAATAATTTTAAGCCAAGAGAAGGAGCATTTAGAGTCTGCTTTGGCTTCAGCTGCTGACTAATGCCTTCTCAAATCAAATCTCTTATACTGGTCACTGGGATGACCCATACAAAAGAAGGCTCCATCATAGTTTATATTAATTATACTTACAGCAACCAAATGTCTCAGATTTTCAAAGGAAGTTCTAATTCCAAATTATCCCATCCCATGTGTCATACCCATTTTTCAAATATTCTGATCCATTGTTAATAAAAATCACCCAAAAATGATTTGATAGGCCACATATCCTGATTATTGGTTTGGAATATCTGGTCATTATGCTTATATTGAGTCAATGCCTTGGTAATGAGCCTTCTCTAAGATAACTTCTAACCAATAGAAAAGACAGAGGATAACAGAAAGTTTCCAAAATTTCAGAAGGTTTTCAAAATCCCTGAAATATAAGGCATAAGGAGAAGCTGACAGATTAAAAAGTATTTTAAATTATAAAACACAAAATAAAAAATGCTTAAGATTCTAGAAATCACACATCCCTCTCCTCTACCCTAGAAGATGATCAATACTCTATGCCTTGATTGCTTACAGGATGAAATATATAAAATCTGGCTCTAAAAGGTATGGAACCTTGGGCAAGTCACTCAAATTCCCTAGGTCACAGTTTCGTCAGCTGTAAAATAAGAGGACTACAGTAGATAGCCTCAGTGGTTTCTTTTGGCTTTAGATCTAAAATAATAACAACAACAACATTTATACAGTATTTTAAGATTAAAAACCCACTTTACATATATCATCTTATTTGATCCTCACAACAACCCTGTGAAATAGGCGTTATTATTATCCCCATTTTACACATGAGAAAACTGAGTATGAGAGAGGTGAAGTGTCTTGCCTAGGGTCACACACCTAGGAAATATCTCTGGATTTAAGCTCAAGTACTCCTTGTTCGAAATTCCTGACTCCATTCACTATTCTTATCATTCCATAACTTTATTATTCTAACTCCCCACTCCACCCCCCCCACACACACATTCTTTCCCTTCATACACTTCATAATCTATCCAAGCTGTAGTACTAGTGGCTTCCTGATCTCATTTTGTTCTAGACCATCTTCCATGACTACATTCCTTTCTACATCACCACCTGCTAAAATCTTCCTTTCCATTCAATTCCCAGTTCAAGTACTATCTTTTTCATGAAATTTTCCCAAATAGTACTCCATCCTCAAATCTTCTTTTAAGACACAGGATTTTTGCACAGCCTTAAAAACGTTCTACCTTTTTCCTTACTTGTCTTTAATCTCCCTTATTATAAGCATCTTGAGGGAAATGACTGAGTAGGTTAAAAGAATGTTATTTTTATTCTCAGCACATAGAACAGTCAGTTCGTTGTACATAGTAGGCACTTCGTAAATGTATGTTAAACCGAAGTGATTGCAGGATATGAGGAAGGCAGCTAAGTTTCACAGTAGATTGAGCACTGGGTCTGGAGTCAGAAAGCCCTAAATTCAAATCATACCTTGGACACTTAGTAACTGTATGATGCTGAGTAAGTTACTTAACCTCTGTCTGTATCAGTTTCCTCAACTGGAAAATAGGGATTATAATATCACCTGCCTTAAGAGGTTGTTGTGAGGATCAAATGAACTAATAGTAGGCACTTCATAAATTTCTTCCCTTCTAATCTCCCTTTCTTCCTTCCTTCGCATGAAGTTTTATTGGCACAGACTCCTGTAACTAGGTAAAAAAAAACTTTTGGAAAAAAAGCCTAAAGAATAAAAACAATAATCCTATTGCTTTTTTTAAATACATAACCAAACACCAGTATGCTAGGCACCTCATAGAAATATTTACAACCCCAAAGGATCCAGAATTTATGATTTCATACTAGATATTAAGACAGATTGTTTTCCCAATGGGCTATTACAGTGATCTGACATTAATCTAATAGTGAATCACTGGAGGAAGGAAAGTTTTCATTTTCTATTTTTGGGGCCACATATTATGAGGATCCTGGATGCATTCTATTCACATTAGAATGTTTGAAAGAAACAGATCAAAACAGAAAAAGGAAAAAAGAATTATTAATTAATTATTAAAGAAAAATCTGAAAACTTACCACCAAAAGATGTTGGAAATTGAGCCATGGTTCTGTTGCTTTTAACTCGCTAGTAGAAGCCTGTAATGAAAAATGCAACTATTAAGTTTATGTAGACACATATTTTAATATACCTTATAAATAAAATTTACTGCTATTTAGGCACTCTGACAAATAGAACACAGCATGTATTTTACAGAAATTTTAAGAAAAGTATAATAATGGATACTATTATTCATTTAGGATGGGATGATATATTCCCCATGTGTTATTACTATTTGTTTACCATTCACTCATTGTCTTTATGGAAGCACTGTGAACAGAAACCCTTAAGTTTCTTGGAAAGATTTTACACCATCAAATACATTACTCATGAGACAGGCAATATTTTCTGAACAAGTAAAGGGCCACACAGCTGAAGAGCTGCCAGTGTGAGAAGTCTCCCTCAACAGACATTAAAGTCTTTTAGTACCTCTATTCACCTCTAAAACATGGTAGTGAGGGGCAGCTAGGTGGTGCAGCAGATAGAGCACCAGCCCTGGAGTCAGGACGACTGAGTTCAAATCTGATCTCAGACCAGATACTTGACACTTACTAGCTGTGTGACCCTGGGCAAGTCACTTAACCCCAATTGCCTCACCCAAAAGAAAAAAACCAAAAACAAAAAAAAACCAAAAACCAAAAACATGGTAGTGTCTTAAATGTTATGGAAGTGACATTTTATTACTTTAAATAAAACTTGGTACACATCATTACATTCAAACTTCAATATCCTTATGATAGAAAAAGTAGGGCAGAAATTAATATTCCCATTTTCTAGCCTGGCCTGAGGTTACAAACCAAGTTAGTAGAAAAGCAAAGCCTTGAATCTAAGTCACTAAATTCCTTTTTTGGGGGGGGTAGGCAATGGAGTTAAGTGACTTGACCAGGGTCACACAGCTAGTAAGTGTTATATGTATGAAGCCGCATTTGAACTCAGGTCTTCCTGAATCCAGGGCCAGTGCTTTATACACTGCACCACCTAGCTACTCCTCACTAAATTCTTAATATACAGGGTTCATTTATATTGTTACGCCTCAAAGTCTGCCAGAACTAAGATAATTTCTAATAAACTGCATAGTGATTTGGAAGTGTCACTGAAAAAATACTTAAAGTTCTAATTCTTTTAGGAAATTATTTTTACTAGTCTTAAAATTCAGTCTTTACATTCTTGTATTTTGAAAGACCTGTGATGTTGCAATGTGATTTGCTCACATCACCAACGTTGACTGAAACATATCGTTGCCTTTTCATTTTGTGAGATTGTTGTCTCTCTTTTCCCACAAATCCTGCATAAAGGATTTATCTACCCAACATCCTGGAGGCCTTTCCCCTATACCTTTTAATATTTTGTAGGTACTAGTGCAATACTTGGGCTATAGACCTGTCATCTCTCTCTCTCATCACTGACCCGACCTGCATCTTTCTCCAGGCACACACTTTCATTGTGTTTGATGATCCCTTTCTTTGACATTAGTCCTTATTAGTAAAAGAACTAGATGTTACATATGTCCATCATAAGTAAGTTATATCTTCCAATGGCCCTTTAGATTATTTGTAATTTTGAATTTTTGGAAATAATAATTTCCCACAATTTCCATGTTAGCATCTTGAGAATATTAGTATTTAAAAGGTGGGTTTCTGTCAAGGAACAGCTTACAATCACACTTAAAGTACTAGATGATTTCCTAAATGCAATAAAGCCTACTCACTACCTGTTATTTACTTTTAGGTTCAGATCACTGTCCATATGCAGTTCCTCTCAGTGACATATGTAATGATCTAATTGAATGGACTCCCCACTGAACCAAGAGTCCTAAAATAAAGGACAGTCATCTTTCTTCCACCTATTTTTTCCTGTATAGATTGTTAAGTTCATCTCCTTTGAATGATTATGAATCTCGCTGGTCTTGTAGTATTCTTAGCCTTGATGAAATCAGGACATAATGACATCCCGAAAAAGGGAGATTCCATAAAGCTTCATCATCAACAGGGAAACCCTTTTCCATTTGGGCTTTGCACAGGATAGCCTTCATAACAGTGGTAAAATGCCTCTGGAAATCATATCTCCATGCATTATGCCTCATTTGATATTAGTAAACAGAAGATCACTGAACAAAGTTATTTATTGTGTAACTGTGAAGATATGATATTGCTCCAGACTAGAGTACAGTCTGTGAAAATCTAATTATTCCCATTTAATTTTCATTCATGATAATATGGGTATATGCATATCTTTCTAATAAAAATTTTATACAGATAAGACAGTAGGCATTTGGGTTTCTGATGACTCCTCAAATGTTGTTTTGAAGAATCACAACATCAGACAAGAGCAAAAAAAGACTTTAGTAAAACAGATAAACCGGTAAATTATATTTCCTGAAAAGGTAGGCTGAAAGGCATCATCAACAGTTCACATATGCCACAAATGAAATGCCATCCAAATACTTAAAAGGAAAAGCTAAATGGCAGCTGATGGTACAGTAGACTGAGTGCTAGGCCTGCAGTCAGGAAGACCTGAGTTCAGATAGACATCTACTTGCTGTGGGACCCGGGACATGTCACTTAATCTCTGCTTGCCTCAGTTTTCTCAACTGAAAAATAGAGAGAATAAGAGCACCTACCTTGCAGGGTTGTTGTGAGGATCAAATAAGATAATATTTGTAAAAAGTGCTTAGCATAGTTCCTGACACATAGTAGGTACTATGTAAATGCTTATTCCTTTCCTTTTCCTTCCCTTTCCTTACTCTAAATGCGTAAGAACTTGTCATAGGATTTGGGGTGAGGGGAGAAAGGGTCAGAGAAACAGAAGCTGAATGCATCAAATCCAAGGCACTAGTGCTGAGTACCCTTCTCCCTCACCACTCTCTTCTTAATAAAGAGCAGCAAGTAAATAAAAAGAAAGAAAAATATAAGAGAATAGAATGAAGGGAAATACACAATTAATGACTGCAACTATGAATGTCAATGTGATCATAACAATGAATGTCAACTCATTCATAAAACAGAAGAGTATAACAAAGAATGGATAGAAAGCAGAATCCAATAATATGCTGGGTTTTTTTTTTCTTGGAAGAAAACATAGTTGAAAGAAAGCTTTGCTCAGTTAAAATAAGAGGAAAATCTGGAGGAAAATCTATTATGCTTCAGCTGAAGTTAAAAAGGAAGAGTAATAATACCATCTGGGAACTTTTCCAGTTCCATGGAACTGGAAATATGAAGGCAAACATCTTCATATTGAGATAGCTTAACTGATCCATAGATAGCCTTTAAAGCTGTTGGCTTCCAACATGGCAATAGCAAAAATGGACTAAATTTAAAAAGACAAATAGGGAAAATATATTTTGCTCAAAGGTAGCACAATGAATTAATATCAGTAATAAATAGGTGCATACTAAATGGCATAGCATCTTAAGCTAAATGAGTTAGTTGAAGAAATGGAGTACAACTATAACACTGTACCACACTTCAACGTACCACTTTCAGAGACAGAAAAATCTAACCAAAAAGTAGATAAGGGAAAAAAAAAGTGTTTAAAAAAAAAAGGAAACCCAGCAGTACCAGATCTCAAACAATATTATAAAGCAGTAATCAAAACGATTTGGTACTGATTAAGAAATAGAGGTAGATCAGCTGAACAGAATAAGCAAACAACATACAAAAGAAAACAAAACTAACAGTCTAGCATTTAACTGATCCAAAGACTTAAGATACTGGAATAAGGTCTCACTGTTTGACAAAAAAGACTTGGAAAACTGGAAATTAGTTTGGCAGAAACTAGACTAACATCTTATACCATAAACCAAGATAAACTCTAACGCATACAGGACTTAGTCATTAAGGGTGATATCATAAACAAATTACAGAAGCAAGGAAGAAACTATCTTTCAAATCTATGGATAGTAAAAGAATACTGACCAAATAAGGGATACAGAAGATCACAGAAGATAAAAAATACAATTATGATGACATAAAATTGAAAAGTTTTTTTAACAAAACAGTACAGTTAAAATTAGAAGGGAAGCAAGTAAGGGGAAAAAATCTTTGCAGCAAGTTTCACTGATAAAGGTCTCACTTTCTAGACATAAGTAACCAATTCAAATTATAATAAGTCATTCCTCAATTGATAAACTGATTAATGAATATGAATTGACATTTTGCTATGGAAGAAATATAAGCTATTGCTAACCATATGAAAAAAGTGCTCCAAATCACCAATAACTAGACAGTGAAAATTAGAGCAATTCTGAGGTTCTATCTCATACCTATTAGATGGAAAATTTTATAAAAAAGGAAAATAATAAACATTAGAAGGGTTATGATAAAAACAAGTATATTAATTAATCAGTGCATTCTGTTGATTGAATTGATCCAACCACTATGGAAAACCATTTGGAACTCTATCCCCAAAACTATTAAATTGTGCATATCTTTTGATCCAATGATAATGCTACTATATGTATATCCCAAGAGATGAGAAAAAGAAAAGGACCTGTAAGTACAAAAATATTTTTATTAACTTTTTGTAGTAACAAAGTACTGAAAACTAAAAGGATGTCTATTGATTGGGGAAATGACTGGACAAACTTTGGTTGATGAATGTAATGGAACATTATTGTGCCATACAAAATGATGGAGATGGTTTTAGAGAAACCTGAACTGACATAAAATGAAGAGATCAGAACCAGAAGAGCAATTTATATAACAACACTCTAAAAATAAACAACTTAGAAATCCATGAGATTTCTGATCTATTAAATAACCAACCACAATTCCAAAGGACTGATGATGAAGCATGCTATTTACCCACTTCCTTACAGAAGGTAATGGACTCAGGGTGCAGAATGAGATGTACATTTTTTTGGGCATAGGCAAACATAGGAGTGTGTTTTGCCTGACAAAGCATATTTGTTACAAGGGCTGCATCTTTTTCTTTCAATGGTGAGAAGTTGGGAGGACAAACTGATTTCTTTTCATTAAAAAAGATAATATTTAATTTTAAAAAAGATTACAGTTTTGGTTAACTAATGAATGACACAAAC